TTGTAAAATGTCTTTTATGGGGGTCAATTTTTCTCGGCAGAAGTTATTTCAATCAAACTGACTAGACCTTACTCCATTAAAAAAAAATTGATTAATAAATAATGATTACTTTATTTATCACTGTAAGTGACAATAATCGAAGTACTCTGAGAAATATTTTAAAACTGTTTCAATTCATATTACATGTTTTTGGCACTTGACTTGTGACCCTATATATTCATACTACGATGGAGGCAAATATTCCGGAATTTCTGATACACCGTTTATATCACCTGTGCTTCAAGACGAGAAATTAGTTCATCACAAAAAAAATTAACATACAGTGAGCAGCGAAACAAATTAATTATTTTGGCAATATACGTTTGACAAATGTCCAAATGTCTCTTATAAACAAAAACTTAAATTTGTTATTTCTTGGGATATGTTTTATGAATCAAGTTGACATCATCAAAAGATGAATATATTAGTTTCCCAAGTGTATTTAAATCTAACAAGATATTTAGCAATTTCACACATCATTGATTTTCTAAGTATGAATCACATTATTATACTGACTGGGTTGTGACCTTTATCACTGTTCATATATCTTCATGTCATCCTTTGATATTTCCAAACTGTCGAAAGCTTAGTGCCATGTAGGTACTGGTCTCAAATTTCAATCAAAGTTCAATTATTTCAATTCATATCTAGAAATGTGTTAAGCAACATTCGAGTTTTCTGGATATGTCTGTTCTTTGAAACGAGATACAATAGCTTATATAGTCTGACCAACATACTTCAGTCGCAGTTCTCCCAGCTTACTGCATGAATTCCAGACTTTTCAGTTCCCGTCATTTTGTTTTTTTAAGATTACTCATAGTTGATGGAGAAAATTTGATGTTTTATAATCTACTTTTATGTTCATCTTCTGAGCTATCAGCTATATAATGACAACAAAAAAATACGGGCCTGCACTTTCTTCGTCATAGTATCACAACATTTGCCTTAATCAAAAAATGATACGATATGGTGACATAGCAACTGGTATTCAAACAAAATCGATGAGTTTATCAGGAAACATACATTTAGAAAAGGTCTTCATAAATCCCCGTTTTCTAAAATACAATGCATCAGAATTTTAGTCAACCCTAAAGACAAGATGCTGGAAACTGAGAATTATATTATTAATGAAATGAGCTATGAGGAGTGTAACAAAATGGTTAGGCTAGACAAACCATTAACACTTGTTTCAAAGAGCACAAGCTGCTTATCAGAATTCATAGTTCAGGAAAGTGCGGTTGTGCAAAACACAAATTGAAAAATGGCCATAGGAAATATGAACACTGCCTACAATTGTGGAAAGAGATATATGGCACAAAACATATTAACAGTGACAAAGGTCCATTTCAAACAGACTATTGTTTATATTTTATGAATCGAATTAAACCAGGCGGGAGCATTTCTGCAAGTTATCTTTTGTATTCTTTTTTTTAACAAAAAATTCAGAGAGTTTGTGGAACATCAGAGTCCTCTTCTACTGTGGAATCCAGCAACTACAGATGTACCTCCGTATATCATTATCATACGTGCTTTTTTTCAAAAGTGTGTTGCACAAAAACACCTAATTCTAGCTTAGTGTTGGTTAAAAAATGGCATTTGTGAAATTTAGGTTTTCTGATGGTTGTTTATAGTTATCACAAGGATGGTTGTATGGAGGTGTTTTTGCAGGTTTTTTATTTCATCAGTCATCAGGTTCATTATGTACAGTAATTTCCTAAAAGGAAGCCATGAAAATTTATCAATAGTGAAATGTATTGTGATTTCCAATTTTTTCTGCTTACAAGCAAAAGAATATAAAATAGGAAGTGAAGACTATTTTTTCAATTCCTTGTTATATTTGATACTAATCGGACCAACACTAATTGCTTTCACACTGAATGCGGTGTCATCGAATTTTTCTTTTTTAGAAGTAATCCTAATTGAAATCAAATATTACTTTTTGTTTGAATACAGTACAGAAATATATATTTTCAATTTTGAATACTGGCTGTGTCAGATTTGAGCTTATTTTAGGGCTGCTATGTCAATAAAGAAAAGCATTTTGAATAGATATCTAAAAGACCTTTCAAATGAAAAATAACCCATAATTTCTTTCAAAGATGCATTGAAAAATATCAGCATTAAAAAATATTAAAAGAGTCATATTTCGGAATTTTCGTCAAAGTACATATTTTGAAAAATAATGAATTTGTTCTATAATTTAAGGGCTCACTGTATAAAAGTATTCTCTTTCGCGTGGACTTCATCAAACTTGCAAAAAAAAACGTTTACCCCTTAATTTGGTAATCGTATGTTCAGAACCATTCGCTGAAAAAAGGTACAGGTACAGGTACGACAGATTCTTCAAGTTCTACGATGCTGTAGCGAGAACTATTCAGTTGTGTATCATTAAAATTTAAACCAGAACTTGAAGAAGATTCATCTTCATTACATACCTTATTGTATATCCCATTAACCGCTTTAAGTTCTTAATGGAAAACCTATTGATGCTTTTTAAAATCGTCACTCGCGTTCATTTTAATAAAATAGAATTTATGAAAATTAATAGCTAATGATGAAATTCTCATGTAAATTACGAAAATGAAAGAAAGTATTCGTGGTGATAAGATAGAAAATCCGGGGTTACTTCAGAAAATGATACTTCAATCAGCTGCATTGTAGCCCAATCACAGACTCGATAACTGAAGCTACCGCCATACTACAACTAGAATAAACATCGCAGATTGAAGGAATGACGTCACAGATACCCAGATCAATGATATCAAGACCTTACAGCAAACTGAATATGTGTACATAGTAGTAATACACTGCAAAACTAAAAACACGTTTTTCTTGAAAACTTATTTTCAGGCACTATGTAACTTTTTTCGGCGAACACCACATGAAATAATAATAATGACCTTTATTAATCCCAAGAAACAGAAATGTTTAAAACAGGATTAAACTTTTAAATAGAATTCAAATAAATTATTTGAATACTAACTCATATATTCATAATTGAATTATAATAGAAATTAAATACAAAAAAGTAGTCGACAATGTTTCATGATGCATTTCATTGGTTCGGATTTCCACTATCTAATATAATATGATTTGAAATCTCTGAAATAACAAATGAAAATGAAAATCAAAAAGAAAAGCTGAGAATAACAAGTGTATTTGGCAAAAAAAACCTGAAAAAAATACAATAGAATAAAAATCACGCAAAAAATTGAATGATTAAAATTTAAAAGATTTCAAGCCGAGTTACTTCACGACGTTTCGATTTTTAGTATCCACGACACATTCAGCCAAACTAGCGTACAGATGCGCAACATATGGAAACCCATAATAAGGCGGAAAACGGTCGGCCCCCGCCAAACGGCCATCTCCCGCTAAACCGGTGAAGCGGAGAGAGGGAAGGGGAAGATGAGTTAAAGCACTTGAATGACCTCCCGTTGGAAGAACTCCAGTCATCACCCTAAGACGATTGTGGATACTAGCAATCGAAACATTGTGAATTAACTTGGCTTGAAATCTCCTAATTTTTAAATATTTCAGAGGTAAATCGAAAGCTATATTTTCTCTAACCCTAAATAATATTCCTAGAGTTAGTTCAATTTTCCTTTTTTTTTTTCATAGAATAAAATGTAGGGTGTCTCCAAAGGCTCCAATAAATTCAAGATATCGCAAGACTATTCCAGATTCAACGCCAGAACCACAGTGAACAATGACTGCATGAAAATTATAATAGTGGTGTGCTAGATTGAAGTGTTCTTGCATTTGAAACCTTCGTAAGAGTTTGGTGCTTCTGCCACAGGTTGAGTCATGTTTAAAGATCATCAGTGTTATTATTAGATTGACTGGTGCCTGAGCCATATTTGTTGTCTTATAATAGTCAGTTAGTTTGGCGCAATTTGGCAATACAATTGATCATAACCCGTAAAAAGTTCCATTTTCAGATGATTTAAAAATAAGCTTTGCACGAACTGGTGATCAGTCATATGAGGAAACGCTAGTTGAAGTTTCAGAAAATCACATATGTTTTTGCTACCTCTTGAACATGTACTACAAAGTGAACAAGTGAGGATTTTTACAGGAAAAGATCTATAAACACAAGACAAGATAGACTCCAGGAAATCGGTTGGTGGGAAAGATGATACATTCTTACGGAAGTACAGCTGCATGAACAGGTGTTTCAGTTTGGTGAATGAGTAGGAAATATTCTCGTTCATCTTCCTCATGAACTACACTTGTAAAATGCTATTTGTGTACCAAGTGTTTGTCAAATTATCTAATTCAATTTTTTTCGCAAGATTTTCAGGACAATTGTCTAACGATATGTAAGAAAGAACATGTTCCACAGATTCTGCAACAAAATCATTTCTCATTCTCGATTAGTAATTTCTGATGATCTGAATAATCAAAATTGAACTATTTTAAAAATGTTCATACAAATTATAGAATACCTGTGTAAATTCTAGGTTTACAAATGTTTATATATTAAAGAACTTTCTGATTTTAATTTTTTTGTTGATCTAACAACTAGTTCTCTTCATATAGTTTTTATCTTAGTGTATTAAAAAATACATCATTACCTATTCGTAAAAACAAATCACAAGTATTAATATTGAATGAAATATGTAAAATAATTGTACAGTGAAATAGTATAGTGCTTTGAATTGTATTTTAAGTAGTTAAGTTTTACAACTGTATAACTTATTAACGAACACAGAGAAGTGTAATAATATGTTATGATTTACTCTTACTGAATCTATCTTATATTTATTTTTCATAAATAAACTTCCTTCTAAAACAACTATTTTCTTTAGATTTTCATTACCTTAAGAATTGGAAACTTCCAAAGATATGATGAACAATATGATAAACAATATGATGAACAATAAGAAATCAATTCAGAGGTGTACTTGTTATGCAATTTGTAATTTTCTTAAGAAATGCCCATTTTGACACAAAAACTATTATTTACAACACATAAAGACAATTCTTACCACATCATATTTCCAATACTGATTTCCTTTCATACCATGGCAAGGATACAGAACAACGTCAGCCTTATCATTTGGATCAGACACGTCGAAACAAACAGACTTTCCTTTGACTCGTAAATCTTTGTGCCATGTGAGGGTAAAGGTCTGTTGACCTCGTTTTTTTGTATCAGATATGCATTCCTGAACTTCGACTGGCTGGTCTCTGTCTTTGAATTTAGAGTCGACACAAAGCTCAGGAGCTCCTAAATTTCTAATCTATAAAAAGCATAAAATAAATTTTAACTACCATAGATATATGTGTGAATTGATGCATGACTTTTTTATTTAAAATATCGCTAGACTAAAACTTTTTTATACGGTAGACTCAAACTAGTTTGAGGAATATTTCAAGGACATATTAGTCCCTTAAATACAACAGGTAGAAGTTATTCAAGAAGGAATTATTTGTATTCAACTTTTCAAATTGTGTCTATAATATTATATTTCATGATGTGGAATTCAAAGTTGATATTTAAAAACTGAGAAACAAGATATCAATCTACCTAGAGACCTCATACATAAGTCAATAAAAATAGTCTCGGACAGCCAAGCTTCCTTGGAAGCTCTTGGCTCTATTCGAGCAACATCTAAGTTGGTAGTAAACTGCCAAAAAAGACTCTTCCTGGCTAGATTGGCCTGGAAGGTATCAAAGCTCCTGACTTCCTTGAAAGGAAGGGTGCTGCAAGCGGTTTCATTGGACCATAACCTCTCATTGGCATTACTTTAGACTTTGTTGGACTGCAAGAAAAGTTTCAGACTCCTGGCAAAATATCACTGGAATGGTCTATTCTAAGGCATTTATATATTCTTTGAAGTATCAAACAATAATTGTTACCTATAGTTATAGTTAGACTATAGTGGGGATGAACTATATTGTCTAAAAGGACTACTTGCTGTCCTGTGAATCATCATATACAGAGATTTGGACTGTCGAAGACTAGAAAATGCAGCAGCACAGTATTGCTGTGATGTACTTACTGCTCCACTGCGGACTGAATAATGTTTTCAGAGTTTGGCAGAATTCAACTCTTGCCGTCTGACCTGGAATATCCCTTATGATATAAGCTATTCAGCTTCATCAAGAAGGCTAATTGAGTTTGAATAGGTGTGAGCCACAATAAATCCTCACGGGTTGCAGAGCGTCGTATAGATCCATTCACTTTGGACCAGACTTGACCTAACCCACTAACATTTGTTGAATTGAAATATATTATCCTTTAGTTTTTGGTATTGATAGTGTGACAGTTTAAAGTGAATTGTCCACTATAATAGAAGATGTATTATATATCAATAAATATACTATTGTGCTGAAATTCATGTCCAAGAAACATAAGGCAAAAATTAGTTACATCTACTCCAGATCAAACTAATGAAAACTACATTTCAAACAGACTACCTTCCAATAAAAATATATACCGTATCAGGTATTTATGATATATGTGTAAAGATTCTTTGTACGTTTGATTGAATTAATTTATAACAAAATATATCTGTCTAACGAACTTGATTGAGATTGTACTTCTCACCTCTCCTTCGCCAAAGTCTGATGGTTCAATAGGAGGATATTTCAGAGGTAAATCGAAAGCTACATTTTCTATAAACCACTTGAATGGTTTGCACTGCAACTTTTCTCGAAGAGCTTTCTGTCTCGTTAGATCTCCAGGATTGATATTTTTGTAGTGTGGCCGTCTCAAGTACAAATACTGTGCATATTCGTCCATCCACACTTCTGCCACACGACGGTAGTTCTAGAACACATAATAAATTCAAAGATTTCCCTAAAAAATCAAAGTGTAACGCAAGAAGTTATTTTCTTGGCTTATGTTTTTAGCTAACAATAAAATGATGGGAAAGAAAAGTTTTGGCTTTCTACTTCTTCAACTTTATACAAAAAATGTTGGAATCTTCTAAAGAAAAGAAGAAAGCAATTAATTTCAAAAAATTACTTCCATACAAAGAAGTGTATATCGTGCAAAAAAGTAACTTTCAGACACAAACTGGAATAAAAAGCCCTCTCAAAACAAAAACTTTCATACAAACATTGAGTAACCAAAAGAAAAATACTTTCAAAATAACTGCTTTTATATTAACACTGAATTATACAAAAAAAACCCTTTCTCTATCCAGTTTGTACTCCAAACATTCGTTATAGAATTGAATCAGATATCATTCACAGGATTGCTACACAATATAGTAAATGGAAGATTCCCACATTTTTTTGTATGAAGCCAAAACCTTTTTTTTCAAAAAAATTAATCTCTTCTAGAAATATACCCCTTTCAATTTGAATAAAATAATATAATGTCCCACATAAATGCATGATAACAAAAATGTTTAATTTCACAATGTTTTCATTTATACTGTCAAAACCTGAACGTATTTCATTAAAATAAGGTATTTTTGTTATTTTTCTCCACTTACCCTTCCAACAAAATCGCCTTTTCCAGGATTTGGGAAAGGAGCATACTTCCTATAAATATGCCCCACTCGGGAACACGGTGCGTCATACATTTGACCACCGCATTGCCAAATTTTAAAACTAAGTTCGTACTGTTCACCTCCCCAAATTTCAAGGCCTTCATCATAACCATCCAGTTCCCAAAAAAACTTACTGCTTATAGCGAATAATCCACCGGCCATAATAGGACTCCTATATGGAATAAATTAAAATTAATCAGTTGATTTGAAACATTTTCAACAAAAGGCAATGACGTGAAATTTATACTTGATTATCAGTTTCAGTTTAGAAAAAAAAACTGTTAAAATATGTTTTTCCATTAACCAGCTGACGTATCCTCAGAAGTCGAAACTTGTAGGAGCCAAGGATTAACGAGATCGTATTTATTAACGTGCAATGTCTAGCACAGACTGACATTACTTAGTGAAAATCCATCTTCTGGTCTCTTGCGCCCGAGCCACCGTTTCACTTAGCGGTCGATTGAATGGGTAGAACAAACCACTTACGCCAACTCAACCGACTACCATAACTCCATTGGAACTATTATTTTTTCAGGATTGGAAATAAAGGAAAAAATGGTAGAAAACCAAACAAAAAATATTTCTGAGTTACGTTAGTGTTCAATTACCACACCGAAAATGTATATACTTGAATTGTTTGTTGTCTGAAAAACTAGCAAAACTATCAAACTATCAACAAATACACTATTTATTATTTTTTTCGGATGAGAATAAACGAAACAATTGAATATAAAACCGCAAAAAATAGTCTTGAAGTTATCTTACTGTTCAACCATCAAATATACTTACTTGAAAGGCTCTGTGGGATGCTTCAAATCTTCCGGTAGCAAGGGGAGTCTTTTATAAAAAAACTCCCAGTCAAAAGCCCCTCTTGCACCTTCATCTTGTGCTCGATATTCAAATGTTTCATACTGTATAACATCGATGAAAGGGCAAACGCACGTTTTATAATCTTGAGCAATAGGTTCTGGAAGCAAAATTGAAAAATCAGTTGATAAAATTTGCTTCAACATTCAAAATTAGATGGCATGTAGAATTAGAGAATGAGAAAAAATTTACGGGTTTCTCAAATAGGCGCCTCAAAAACAAATACCTGCAATTCCATTTTTTCATATATACAAAGTAATGCAAAGGTTAGAGTTGAAAAATCTATATAGATTATAATACAGGTTCGCCAAAATAAAAATTTCGCGGCGTCCCTGTTGCCGAAGTAGGAATTAACATGGAAGGGGCAAATTAGATAACTGCTAGCTCCTTTAGTAGATATTCATTTTGCAGCTCTCTTTCTGTTAACGTCACCGTCTTTAAAAGTGGAATAAGATCAAAACTTAGGCATATTCGTAGCAGCAACTTGATTTTTTCCTGAAAGTCAGTATACATCTCTCTGCCATTCATATGGGAAATTATGCTGTATGTTCTCTTCAAGTTACCAGCATCAAGCCCCTTGGATGAACCATTGCACTTGTATACCCATATCTACATATAATGGGGAAAGCGACCTTGTGCATTCATTACAGGAGTGTTTGAGGCATTTACAATTGGTTTTGATCCCAGTTTTTATGATGAGTTGCAGAAAAAAATTACATTTACAGTTTAATGTAGCAGGTCCTGCATTTATTAAACACATAAGCTCTCTAGAAAAAGGAATTTTTCCCAGTCACATGAAGTCGAAAAAAATTACTCCGATACATAAAGAGAAAGAAAGATGGAGCATTGAAAACTATAGTCCTGTATCATCTCACCTTTAACAAAGATCTTCAAATACTATCATCATACATGTTAGATGGACTCACTTCATTCAATTATAAATATAATCTACTACCCAAAGAACAACACGGTTTCAGATAATGTTCAGATAAAGATAGTTGTTGCAAAAGTATTTATTTTTGTGTAATTCAATGTTTATATAAAAGTAGTTGTTTCGAGAGGGCTTTTTCTTCCAGTTTGTGTGAGAAAGTTACTTCTTTCATGAACTTACATACACATCTTTGTATAGTTTATTTTGAAATGATTCATTTTCTTCCTTTCTCTGGAAGATTTCCACTTTTTTTGTATATAGATGGAAAAGTAGAAAGCTAAAACATTTCTTTCCCAAAAATGATTCTCTCCTAAAAATATACCCCTTTCAACTCAAATGATTCTGATTTCTGAATTGGAAATATAAAAAAAGGTAATAACAAAATATTGATCCCAAAACATGAAAAAAGGAAGAACTAGAATTAAGAACACAAATAGTAACAATTGAAAGGAACACATTTCTAGAAGAGATTGAAGTAGTAAGCATAAGGGTGTTCAAACAGGGACTTTTGAACTCTGACAATTGATAACGGCCATCTTGTTGAAGCTACATCGGTCAAATTAGTTGTCATTTATTCAATCTGTTTTGCCAAATTAACATGGACAAATAAAGTATTCAACAGCATGTGTAAATAATTGTCTTACCGACAGGACTATTCGCAATGTAGTTGAAAAATTTGAGTCCACTGGTTCAGTAAACGATCGACAAACACCCGTATGTCGACAAAACGCAAGATCAACAGAAAACATCGCCGCTGTATGTGAAAGTGTGCAGGAGAATCTGAGGCAGTCGATTTCGCATCGCTCAGAAGAACTCGCCCTTTCGCAGACCACACTGGGTATGTGAACAAACAAAATTGTCGAATTTGGAACTATACCAATCCACATGAGATCCAACAGCGTCCAATGCGTCTCAGAAAAGTCACTGTTTGGTGTGGATTTTGGGCTGGCGGCGTCATTAGTCCATATTTCTTTGAGAACGACGTTGGCCAGGCAATCACTGTTAACGGCCGGCACTATAGGTCGATGATTGCCAACTTCTTATGGCCTGAATTGAATGATCTGGACACCAACGACATTTGGTTTCAACAGGACGGCGCTACGTGCTTTTAGCCCATGCCACATTGGATATTCTGCAAGAGCGATTTGAGGGAATGGTCACCTCACAGGGAGGTGAAGTGAACTGGCCACCGAGATCGAGTGATTTGATTCCGTAAGACCATGCCATCGGTCAAATTCGGACTGATTTATGGAACTGATTTATGGAAAATTGGATTTCGGATGCGCTCCACCCAGAGAAGCCATGGCGGACATTTGAACGGTGTTATATTCCACACATAATGGCATCAATAGGTCTTTCAAACAAATAAAAAATTTCAATGATATCTCATACACACTTTGTTTTATTTAAATTTAAAGATAGTGTAACGAAGCTGAAGCCGGCCCTGACCGATATCTCAACCAGCGAATAAACACATAACTCACCGTGAAAGACAGCAGTCGAAGAAACGCCGGTTAAATTCTAGTTTAGTACCGAAACCACTAGAGAAATCTAGAACGATCGTTACCGATATATAAGGCCCGCTTTTCGTCCAGAGATGGCAGTCGAATTTAGCAAATAAAGAATTCAAGTAGTGAAAATAAATTAAGTGCTAAGTGTTGTAAATAAATTAGTTTGCAATAGTGAAATATTGTTAGAAATAAACTTGTTTAAGACAGTAAATTCTTTAATTCGTTATAATAGGAAGCACTTAATGAAATACTAGTACATGCCAAGAAAGTTGTTTATTCTTACCTAATAAAGGTGGTAGCCAGTTGACGTTAGCCTCAGTATGAGAATCTAAAAAAATCAGCACTTCTGCTGTTGCTTCTCTAGCACCTGCTAACCTGGCTCGAATCAGTCCACTTCTCTCTGGTAAATGTATGGCTCTAACTTTTGTTAAGTTCGCTTTCAAGTAAGCATCTAAAGGTGTCTTACTAAATTCTATAAAAATATGGAAAAAATCATGAGTCAATCCAAACTAAAGGCACAGCCCAAGAGTTCAACTATTTTCATTATTATCACCTTTTGAGCTAAAATCATCTACAAGAATGACTTCTTTCAGTAGATCTGGAGGCGATCTATTTACAACACTAGCAGCAGTCCTCAATAGCGTGGTCCAATGTTCGTTGTGAAATGGAACGATCACGCTTACTGTTGGAAGTTTTTTCAAATATTTCTTGTTTTTACAACTGGAATGATAGTGCAAATTTTAAGAGAATACGATGACGAATAGTATTGACATATTTTTCATTTTTACTATATGATTTTGTGTTGGCTATTATGGAACAAGAACATTAAAAAAATATGAAAATAATTAACTTCTTTTTCAATTATTATGTATTGAAATTTTGTTACTCATGGATCAAGAACCTAGCCTTACATTCTTATCATAATAATATGAACATGGGATAGAAGTTTGGCAAGTTTGGATATAACAATGAATATCTGAAGACTGGCAAACTGCACTAATAGTACGAATATATAAAAAAGGAGACATGCAAGACTGCAATAATTATAGATATATTTGTTGAGTGTTGCGATGAAAATATATGAACAAATATTGGATGAGAAAATTAGACCAGTAATAGATAATACATTAGGAGAGTCCCAAAGTGGTTTCAGAAAGGGGAGGAGTATGCAAGATCATATTTTTACAGCACAAGTGATCGAAAAATAACTACAACAGAGAAAACTAGTGTTTATGGAAAAGTTATAAAGAAAAGTTATGATATATATTAGAAAAAAGAGGAATTAGCAATGAGATCACATGTATAAAGAAAAGATATACACAGGGCTGAACATCAGACCTACCATATGTAGGTTTTGAGACAACTTTTAGGGTATCAATATACAAGTATTTACAGACTTACAGCTGGGTATCTTGAATTCCGAGGTGAACTTACTATAATGACTGGACTACAGTAATTACAGATCACTTTATAACCGTAAACTTTCACAACAAAGATCAAATAGTGAGTAATACATTTTTCATGCGAATACTAAATGATGACGTTTTTCATAAAATAAATCTGAAACTAATTGAATGCGATTGGTTGAACCGGTCTAATGATATGAATGAAATATACAGAAATATTGAGTCGAAATGTGGAATACTATTAAATTATATTACGCTAATAGTTGAAATTGAGAATAAATCAAATCAAGTCCCCTGGTATGATGACGAAATCAGATCTACTTCGAAATTTAGAGACAGGGCTTACAAAAAATTCATTAAAAGCTCCGGAATTGAGAAGGAGGAGTCCTGGAAACGATATAAACTGAAACGGAATCAAGTAGTTGATATGTTAAAAATCAAAAAGTCTCGATACTATGAAAACAAAATTGATGCGAATAGTGATAACTTGCGGGAAATGTGAAAAACAATGAAAATATTGATAAAAGGTGACAAACAACCATTAAATTTAAAATCTATCAATTTTAGTACTAATGGCGCTGTCGTCAAAGCGAGAACAGAGCTACAAGCTGCTAACAATTTCAATTCATTTTTGTTGAAAGTAATGAAGATATCTCCAATTCAAATTCAATTCAAATAAATAGAAGATTAAAATCAGATCTTACACTAATTCATAAAATAATCAATGGTAGCATCAATTCAGGAACTTATCGAACTTATAACTTTAAATGTGAATTCAAGGGGAACAAGAAATTCGGAAATCTTCAAAGCACCCTTTTGTCGCACCAACTATGGCCGGAATGAATCTGTAGGTAGAATTTTGAGACTTGCAAATACATACAATGTAGATTTAGAATTTTTTAATTCTTCTTTGGAAACATTTAAAAAGACTGAAAAGATTGTAATTCATTATTTTCACGATTTTTTTATTTTATTTTATATATTTTTNAATCATAGTTTTCATTTTCAGACTGACTTAGATATGCTGGTTTTCCCTGCTCACCTGGACCTGAAAAATTATTCATTTATCAATTTTTCTTTGGAGAAATAGGTTAAAATTGTTCATTAGATTAGTCAGTATAAGTACCTCATAACATTCTTATGCTTTATTCAAAATCCTTTTCAGTTATTTGTTTTTTGAGATAAGCGAATTCCAGTTTCCTATTGTTAGGGATATTTAAGGTATAGAACTGAACTCCCAGTTCTTTCAGATATATTACACACAAAAATATGACGTGACTATACTTTATTGTTCACATGTTTGTTATGTTCCCATTAGTCAAAGAAAGATGGCTAGAGAACATAGATGAAAACAATAAGTATCTTCAAACATAGTCATCGAGTTGATAAGGAGACATAAAGTTATATAATAATAATAATTTATTTTCCCAATGATTCAAAAAGCAATAAGATAACATAATAAGGCGATAAGTTAAAGTTCATTGTTGCTCCAAATGAATCAACATATACATTGAACATAAAAGTACCTTTTGAACTGATTGTTCACCTGAACAAGTGTTAAAATATCCTAAAAACAAGCAAACTGAAAGATTTTGATTTATAAAATAAGCCGAGAGTACTGTGCAAAAAGAAATTGGGTCAGATTTAGCGATTTATTAGAACTTATTTCAAAGAACACGCTGCACATATATAATTTAGAAGACTAAAAAACGTCTAGTGTCATGAACAACTATAGAATGAAGGAACGCTTCTTGAAATTTTTTTGATTGGTACGTCTTTGGTAAGCTTCTGAAGGTATTTAAACTATGAAGACAGGCTGGAATTAGAGGATAAACTCTTATCAACTACCAGTCTTTTGTCTGAATATGGACTGAAGACAATGTTTTACTTTTTTACTTATCATTGTAATGCAGTTTTTTATAAGGTAGACAAAAAGACATTGTCATAAAAAAGTAAGCAAATTGTTAAGACTTCAAAACCAGAAGTGAAACAGTGGCAGAACACTCGTTCTTATCATTATCTTATAAATTCAATGCCAATTATTTAATAAGGAGTAATTTACTCTCCTCTGTTTCACGGTTAATGGAAGTTTAAATAACTTATAACGCAAGGAGACAGTTATGAAACCTAAACAGAACACGAGGCTAATGACACAGTAGTGATTTTGTTGACAGATTTTTTTTTTCGCAATACGCATATAAAAAGTGATTTCATTGATCTAACTGATGAATAAAATATTTTTAATTTGGGTTCATTGAACTTGTAAACTAATGCACTGGCTAGAGGTATAGGGAGTATAGCGACAAAGTTACTAAAAAAAAAAGCAGAACTTCAACTGAATTTTAACGTATATTGAACTTGGTGCTTGGCACCATATAACGACCCAAATAAAAAGGAAAGGTCGAACGGACGAACAAATTTGGGGTCGGAATCATGATTAAAGAGGACAAAATCTGGACTGGTTGGTCGCGGTCAAATGGAACCGGCATACATCATCACTGCTGTTTTCCGCAGTAGCAGACGAAACGTTTGGTACTTCATACATCACTGATAATGACTTCAGCAGTATCAGACGAAACGTTTGGTACTTCAAGTTTGTTCGACCATGGTCTATCAGCCCGGATTTTGCTCTCTTTGATGATAATTTGAGTTGATTCCTCTCATATGGTTTGTACTTTGCCCCACTAAGCAACAAAATTTGAAAAATTCCAAATATGCTTGAATTTTGTGGAATTTAAAATTGGGATTGTAAGATTATGAATAGTTTTTAGAAAAAAATAATGCTCTCGATATAAGAAGTACTTCAGACATGGACACGTCTTTGTGGGATTTTGAAAATAATGAGTGGTGTACAAAGTCAACAACTTTAAACATTAACGTAAAATATAAGCTGAAACCTCGTTATATTTCAAAATTATATTCACTAATTTATTTGATACTATCACTTCCAATTGTAACCAGCCTTCGAATTAATCGAAGTCTGGCTCCAATTGGTTTCCTTATATTTATAGCCAGGACGAATATTCCAGTAAATTCGTCAGTGCTCGGCACACGTTATACGAAATAGGTATACGTTTCGCCATGCAATACTTTAGACAGTTATTCATCCTAGGTGGTTCGTTAACTCGCTTTGTTCGCTATGTTCATGCTTGTAAGATTGCCTCTCTATTCAAGCTATTCTGTCCCAAGTAATAAGTCTGCCTGATTCTGTCGTATTTATTTAAAGAATCATCAGCATCGTAGGAAGCCTGTCTTTCTACGTGGATGATCAGTGTTTTACTCTTTAGTTTTAGTGGAATACGGTAGATCAAGTTCTTCATCTCTTGTCACCAAGTGGCCCTATGTCCAACTTAACTGTGAGTTGGAAATGATTTTCTTTTTCCTAGTTGACAAAGTTTGTTAACGCCAAAGTTTTCTGCTGCTGGGCTATCATGAAGTTCATTAAGTACACATGTGCTCTAGTTAGAACCAGCTGGTTCATATTCGTGGCCTCGTTGAGGGAGTATAAAGAATTCCATTGACCCCAATATTCTTTGACGTCTGCAACATTCTTGGAGACACTGCCAATCAGATGTTGTTTAGCCAGCTTCGAATCACAGTTCCATATCATTATCTTTTTTCTGGCTTGTTCTCATGTTGTCCATGGTCCATAGATCCGATCCCGTAGATTCCATTCTTATGCATTTGTTACTACTACGCATGTGTACAAAGATATTATGCGGGTGCATAACTCTCGAATTAAGACCGGTATACGACAAGAATCTATCGTTAATAGGTATATATACTTTCAAATGAAAGAAGTGTCTTCAGAGACCGATATCCACATATATACACCTACACGACAAAAAAAATTATGACACCCTATGTTCGCTTTTTCTAACAAATCATTACTGATGCTTTATTATTCAACTCCATAAAAAGACGCAACTGAGCAATCCGCCTAGGGACCTGATATCAAGGGGTTAAAAATAAATAAGACAAATTATTGGTGATGAACTTCATATAGTGAATAGTACCGCATTCTGCATTTGAAATATATTTTACTAGTAAAAAAACCCTAATGACACATTTCCTTTGGAAGGGTCTGGTAGCGGAAGGGATAGTTACTCTAAATTTCTCTTTCTCAAAGTGGGCGATAACGCCCCCTTGTGGGTGTTGGAGGCCTATAGGGGCCTCAGTAAAGGGCTCAGAGAAGATTGGGGGGCGTTGAAACGGTTGAGGGGGGCGATGGCTAATTCAAAAATGTTTGTTTTTGCTTTTAACACAAACTTTACCACTCCTTTACGCTTAACGCGCGATTCCTCGTGTAACGCCATCTAGGGAACTAGACAGTAACTATTTCCTAACCGATAGTTGTCAAACTGTACAATAGATGGCGGTAAGCTTCAATGCGAGCGAGAAGTTTCTAGTCTCCATTATCGATAGTACTAGGCCCGCCCGCTGCCTCATATAAAAGCGCGCGCGCCGTCCAGCCAGTAATGTCTACATCAGTCGAAAGGGTAAGGGAGCCAGGCTCCAACCTGTTTAAACCAAGATGACACGAACAAGCCAGTGATGTCATTCGTTAAAGTTCATTGTTGCTCCAAATNATTTCCTCAATTGAATGATGTGTCAGAATGGAGTATTCCTGTTCCTTACAATGTTCGCATTGAAATAATAAAAAAAAAGAAGTGAATACTTCCAAAACAAAGCAGGACCATTTGCCACTGTTTCTAGGCACGGAACCAAAATAAAAGGTGACACTCGTCATCTCTCAAAAGATTGGTTTTATAAAATTATGCCTAATGGTGAAAAAATCCTACGGTCATGGATGGTTTATTCCCTCACCTCTAATAACATGTACTGTTTCTGCTGTCGTTTATTTGCTATGGCCAATAATACCAATGCGGAAACATTTACGACTGGATATCAAAAGTGGTGGAAATTAAATCCGAAAGTAGATGAGCACGAATGTTCAAATGAACATCTAGAAAATCTTGAGAAATGGAAAACTTTAGAAATAAGACTGTTTCTGTTCTGTTTAAAATCTGTTTTTCCGTTAATCACCTGTCGCCCCCATACGAACGACAACTCTCAGAAGTTGAGAAACTTGTGCGAGCTAAGGACTAACGAGGTCTTACCTTTTGACGTGTGATTCCTAACACGGACTAAAATTGAATAAAACAATAGATGATGCAGCTTTGCAATTGATGGATACAGAAAAACAGAAGTGGAAGCGTCTTTTGACTAGATTACTGGATATAACTTTATTTCTGGCTAAACAAAACTTGGCGTTTCGTGGGCCTGATGAAAGACAAGACTCTAAAAATAAAGGCAATTTTTTGGAATTAGTAAAACTATTATCAAAGTATGATGTAGTGTTGAAAGAACACATGATGAAATTGGAGGAAGATGAAACTTCAAAATTATCATATTTGTCGCCAGATATACAGAATGAATTCATTAATGTTCTATCAAACCATGTAAAAACAAAGCTTGTCAACGAAATTAACCGTTATTTTTAACACCTGTGTGTTTTAATCATTATCACTTGGTTATTGAAACACGTGTCGGGGTGTTAAAAATAACCGTTTTGGGATAAAACTCCAGTAATATTCATTACTACACCAAAGGTTCCAAACAGTGCATCACAAGTGTATCAGGGTTTTACAAAAACTGCAACAGATTTTTTTTTGCTNGCCACAGGCGCCTGGAAACAGAATGCCGAATGGGCCAAGACCAACTATGGGTGAGTTTGATCAACGTTAGTGTTTTGGCAATAAGTGGCTCCTCAAGCCACTTAGGGAGCATAATTATTATTCAGTCTCATCATATAATATAATAATGATGGAACTGAAGCCTGAAGTTCAACAATAGAAAAATAATACTCCAATATCTCCAAATACATAAATGTCTATTGTGCTTTTATTATATTAATTTTTATAAAAAAATGTTTTACCAAAATCTACATCTCTTTATATTATTTGCATATTACTACAAAATCTCAAAATACCTGTTAATATTATTATTGTTTTATTTTTGTATCTCAGGTCAACGTCAACCTCTAACACGTCAAAGGGCTCCTATGATGAGACCAAGAAGTGGAGTAGGCATGACTGCATTGAGAACAGTCAGGCCGAGAATGCCGAACGCTCCCAATGGTATTCGCCAGCAACCATCTCCAGTGAAACGAACCCCAGAACAAATGCAGCAACTGCAAGCTAAAAAGAAGCGGTTTGATATGCTGACTCCTGATAAAGATGACGACGACTGTCAGGTGATTTGTATGCAGCCAAAGAATACTGATGGAGGTCTGCCACAGATAGAAAGTGTACAGGTATGTCAACATATTCTACTATCAATAAGAATGGTAATCTGTAACCGAACCTGAAGGTGTTTTTTATCCATCTGTGCACCAACAACTATCTGCTCTTTATATTTCCTTCTCTAGGAAAATCCGGTCCTCAGTTGGGAACAGTACTGTATAAGGTAGATCGTTGTTGACAGTTGGAGTCATAATGTCAGAGGTCAGTTCCAGATTGCTATGACTTCCAGTGTCGACCAGCAGTCTATTGACTTGTGCAATTGGCAATGTGCACAAGTCTATATGCAGTCCATCTAGCCTCTCTCTCTCCAGAAAAATGTGGAGACGAGGTAGATCTAGAACAGTGGTTCCTAACCTTTTCAATGCCACTACCGCTGTGAACAACTATGGGAATTGAGTTTACCCCTAGCTAATTTAAAATAATTCAACCACACAAATTCAAACAAAAATATATTTTATTAGGTAAGAAATTGCAGGTTTAGGTAACTTTTAATATATAAATCTCGGACTTAACTAGTGTGAAGATTGATATTGCTTTGCATTCGCAAGTTTAACAATATTAGGTTCGGTTTCACTCAACACGCATCTCATGTCATGCTTCACATTCAGACGGTTTATAGCTTTTGTTTTTAATGTAACAAGAGTCGAGAAACCAGTTTCACATCTGTAAGTTGTAGCAAATGGAATCAACATTTTTAAAGCTCTGTCAGCTATAATAGAATATTCTGCAGCTGCTTTTCGCCAAAATGTACCGAGTTCATTATTTTGAAAATTAATATTCAATGAGTTATCCTCCCGTAGTCCAAGATACTCTACTTTTGCTGACACATCTCCATCCTTGAAAATATCGACACAAGTAGAAAATAGTCTTAAAATTCAGGAGTAGGACTCACGACTATCCATGTTCGGAAAATATTGCTTCAGTGAGTCCATCGCAGCAGTTAAATGTTGAACCACGGAATTTTTAAACGAGATTTTCTCTTGTTTAGTATTTACTAATTGCTCACTTAGTTGTGTAGACATTGATACATCGCCAGCTTGGACTCTACGTTGGTCGAGTTCCAATTTACGCAAAAAACTTGCGATTTTATTCTGCAACGTCAAAATGTTTGTTTTATTTCCTTGCAGTGAAATATTCAGACTAATAATTTCATCCATCTTTATACAAAAAATATGGGAAAATTCCAAAAGATGAAAGAAAGCAATTAATCTCAAAATAAATTCTTCACAAAAATGTGTATATAATGCAAAGAAGTTAATTTCACACAGAAACTGGAAGAAAAAACCCTTTTGAAAAAATTACTTTCATATGAACATTGAATAAAACTATAGAAAGAGTACTTTTGAAACAACTACTTCTATATGAAAATTGAGTTATACAAAAACACTTCTTTCTATTTATGGTATTGAATCAGACATCATCCACAAGATTGTTACACAATAAAATGTCTGAAAAATATAAAATTTCATTTACAAGGAAACTGTAATTAATTGCTTTCTGCGTTCTTTTGGAGGTTTTCCAAATTTTTTGTATAAGAATGAGAAGTAAAAAGCCAAAACCTTTTTTTTCCATGCTACTCTAAATTATAGAATACCTCGTTTCAATGAAATAGTACCGCATTCCAATTGTATTACGGGTTTTTACCGCAAAAGACACACTTCATATAGTTTATAGTTGAAAGCACCATATTTTTTTTTAGAAATTATTTCAGCATAGGAAAATAACCCTGATGACACATTCCACATGGTTTGGTAGGCTTCAAGAGGACATTTGTGGGGGTTAGTTTGTCTAAATAATCGAATAATTCATTTCACAGAAAAAGCACTACATTTTAATATTAATATATGTTTTCAGCTCCTTAATATCACTCGATCGATTGATGACTTATTTATTTTGTAGAAATTCATGTTGAATATAGAATGAAGAAAATACTTTTGTCTGTTAATAAATAAACACAGTAGAAACTAGACAAACGTATTTTCTTTATTCTATATCCTTAATATCAGTTCCCTGGGCGGATTACTCAGTTGTGTCTCTTCATTTCGTTGATTAACACATAAATAATATTTCTCTAATAATTATTAGAGATTATAATCTGTTGGAAAAAGTAAAAATCAAGGTGTCATAATGGTTTTCATCGTGTTCATGTGTGGATGTGTATGACTTCAAGTCGGTTGTTAATAAAGAGCCTATTGAAATGATCAAATAGAACACTACACAACCTAATATATGAAAAAGTATTGATATAAAATCGCCAACAAGAAATGCTTTCAACCAATGGTGGTCATCAAGATGTTTCAGGTGAAAACACTAGTCTTCAACTCATCATCAGCTCTTTTTTTTTTCGATATCTTCGAAAGATGTTTCACTCCACTGCGAAAATTTTACGACTCTATGAAACAATGGCGGTTCATAAATATTATTTATTCAACTTCCAGCCACAGAAATTTCGTTTATTGGTAAGGAAATCTTAGTATTTGAGAAGAAAACCTTTTCGGCCGGCTTTCTACTTCTCCATCAATATACGAAAAATTAGGACATTAAAAAAACATGAAGTAAATTTCCAAAATAAAATGATGAAAATTCAAAGAAAAATACAAAATTATATTTGAACGAATGAAATTGATGATGGACGTTAAGTACTGTAACGTTGAATCATATAATATATTTCGTTAAATAGAAGAATTGAAATAAAGTAAAAAGTTTGTCAGTTTCACCAACATTTTAAAAGTATTGAGCCACCAAATCATAAAACCTTTGGCTAGTTCAATAACCATTTATAGTTCCAAACACTCTTACTACATTTTCCATGAATGCTCATCTACCTGATGCACTGGGAATGTAACTAGTAACAAAAATTAAGTACTTAGTGGATTTCACTACTGATTTCTCATTAATAGTTATCTGTTACCATTTCAACATACCTGATAAATCATGGATAAGGTGAATTTGCAATCAAGTTATTTCACATGGCATTGAGACTGTTCAGTTCATTTGTTAGTATAATTGAGTAAAAATCACAATAAGTGGAATAAATTGAAAGTGTATAGTATAGAATAATCACTATAAATTCTTGAAACATTCTGATCTCAATCGTTATTTTGAAATGAAAATAGGAAAAAAGTAATAAGAACGAAAAAAAGTATTACAGAAAAAAGAACAACAAAAAAAAAACAAAAAAAAGCAAGAACACTTTTTTTCGTAGAAATTATGTGACTGAACGCTCGATTTATCCAGAATGTCACTCATGAATTGCTGTGGCTTTTTACTTTTATCAGTTGAAAAGTTATGAAGTTATGTAAATGCTAAATAGGAGTGAAAGTAGAATTCACATTAATTTAAATAAATCAAAACTCGTACAGATTTACATTATATTTTAATTACACTTTTATATTTCCTGACATTCATACATCGGAATCGGTAAACAACAATAGCAAACAGTAAAAAATACATAATTATGAACGGTACAGAGGTTTCAACTTGAGTAAATAATATCCTTTTATATTTCCATAAGAGCTCTTTGTGAAATCGATTGTTTTAAAAGGAAATCAGGTAAATTTATCCAAGACGGTAGGATAATATTCAATTACATAGATTAGATGAGTTTCTCATAATCATAATAATGATGCAATCTAGACCACTTTTGTGGATTATTTTGATTTACATTCAGTTGGAATATACTTTTGATGAATGCATGAGTTCAAAGTAACCGGCATTGACACTCCTTAACTCCAAGGCGACCTGAGATTTAACAATTAAAAAAAACTAGATCGATTTGTGAGTAAAATCATAAAGGTTAAGGAAATTTTGCAAGAACTAAAAATGTTCTTAAAACTCCGGAAATATTTCAAATACGTTTTATCACAGCTTGAAATATTATTAACTCAATGTGTGGGTCCTTATTTGGATGAGGCATTCTGAATGATCCATTCAGAATAGGAAGTTTCAAATGAGATTTTTATATATCAGTTTGGATATTTATCACATTTGAAATCTAAAAAAACAATTTCCAATCAGTGGGCTCGAATGATATCACTCTCATCTGGAATAGTACATGCTATAATAAGCTAGGCGGCTAAAGTATTCAAAACATCATCCTGGCAGCCCGTGATCAATCCATCATTCTTCGATTTTAGCCAGGGGACAGCAAATGTCTTTGATGCTGTTAACAAAAACCCCATACATTGCTTAGTCTTTGGCAACCCAAAGAGTAAAGGGTTCTGAAGTCATGTTGATTAAACAAGTTTCAATTCACTAACATCCACTATTGAGAATGTGGGATCGGTTGCTGCTCTGGGACAACGGATCTTCACAGAGGGTACCAGAGGGTACAAACGTTTTGAGCTGCCACGGTTTCAAACTATAGAATTTGAAAATTGACTAATTGCAGAGAAGTATAACGAAGTTCCTAGATAAAAACACCAGTGTCCACTGAGGAGCAAATTCCAAGAAAAACTAACATGAGGGATATCACTGATTACAGACATAAAAAAAGAAGAGTGGTCTGTGTTGCCCGAGCTGAAGCTGAATTCCCAGAAATGTTTGGAGAGTACATTGCATTGTATTGTGTATACGAGATACAGATAGTTTAACAATTGATCTTATGGAAAGGACAAGTCAAAGTAGTTGAGCAGAAGGGCACTAGGTCAACTGTCGCCATGACGTTGACGAATGGTGTAAACGATGTGACCTTTCTGCTTCCAAGAATAACCCTTTAATGAGGAATCAATAAAAAATGGCACAGTACTTGTCTACAACCCCCAGACAGAAGAAGTGAATTTTTTCTTTTCTTCCGTGTTCTGAGATGGTATGTTAATAATTTCCCGAGCCACCTAGGGAGCATCAGGCCTATTCGTAGTATTCGTAATTTGAAACTTGCGTATCTCACTAGATTGAATGTTCTATTAGAAAGACATTCGCAGAAACTACATATTCCACCCTGGATAGAGGGCGGCCAAATTCACACTTTACAGACGAAAGGACAACGTGCAATAAAGGAAGGGAGATGAATTCATTGGAAGCATTGGAAATAAATAAATTGTATAAAAACCCCAATTTCAAAACCCTCAATGGTCAACTA